TTATTTATTCGTGTACTTTTTTGTCAATAAACGAATAAACGAGGGAACGGGTTCAATATAAAAAACTTTAACCATGAACTCAGACCATCATCCTGAACAAAATCTAAAATAGTTTTTGTCCAAATATGAAAAAAATAATTCAAAATGTCACGTGACTAATTTTGTATGCGAAGCCAATTTTTTTTAAGTTCTGAGACGCATGGTCAAAAAAGAGTTTGAAATTCACAGCAACCACTTACCATCAGGAGGACTGTGTGCTCGCTTGTTACCCTATCCTATATAAAAAAAATATTTTTAAATTCTGGATTAATGAAATTCAGAGCAATTAATACTGTCATCCATAGGCTGTTGCAGTTCACCTGATGGTAAGTGATTGCTGCGGCCCATAGACATCTGCATCTATTCTCTATTACAAATCAAAATGCAGATGCGTTGTCACCCGTGAGAACTAAGATGGAATGCCTCATTTCCAGTAAAAAGGGTCTCCGGTACTCTACACTCACCATACGAAACACAACAGCGTTAGGCTGCTATTTTACGCTGGTATTCTGTTGAAGGTGTGGTCCTTCCCCGGTCGAGCTGTTTATATTCCCATTCATGATAAAACTATACTACTAATATAGCTGCAGCATGGCTCTACCACGTATATAATACACTATATATATAAATAAACCATTGGTCGCAACTGTGGTGTGAAGTGTTGAATAATAATATTGATTAATACATTTTTAATAAGAGGTTGACTCAGACTATTCATATTTGATGCCCTTTTAAATATTTTATCCGCAAAAAGGACAATTTTGTACACCTCTGCGGATGGAATAAGCAATTTACCTCTATTTACAAATGTTGTAGATATTGATATTTATTTACATTCAAAACGTATAAATGATCGGTTTGTAAATGATCTGCAGCAATTAGCAAATTTTTACAATCGTTACATTTGAGCTGTTTGACTATATTTTTATTATATAACCATTAACATAATAAAGAATAGTTTTCTGATAATCCGTATGGGTGTTTTGTGATTCCAAAGCCTGCAAGTGGTTTTCGATTTCATCATTAGTATCTGTATCATCAGTATTTGAGATCGGATTCGGATTGGAAAGCCCCACAATGCAATTAAAAAAGGCCAAAGACCGTCTTAAGATCTCAACGTTTGGCAAAGTTGCATATTGTATAATAAATTAGAAGTACATTTAAAAACATTAAAACAAAAATTGTTTTTTTTATATTTATATCTTTATTTATAGCAATAGCACTTATATACGTGTAACAAAATTGTCAAAAAATTGATTTCCTGAGACCGCAATTTTGATTAAATGTGTAAATTTTCATTTAAAAAATTAAATACAATTAAATACTTAGCAAAATATTGTACAAAAATAGCTTGTAATTATTTTTACAAAGTATAGCCTAGTGATATAACATATTAAGCTGTTCCTATTTTCTAGGTAACAGAATGCATTTTTCTTTCTTTCTCAGAAATTTTTTTTTAAATTACTTTTCTTCCCTGGAAACAAAACTTCGCTTTGAAATAAGAAATAACAAGTACCTAACTAAAGTTCATGCCTGTACCACAGAACAATCTGCTATTTCATTTAAAAACGGTGTGACTCCTTGACTCAGTTGTTTCCCAGTAATCATGTAATTGGTTGATATGAAAAAGATTACAAATCTTTGCTTTTTCAAAAAAGGGTATTTTAGGCTCCACATTATTTAAACATTTATTACGTTCTGTTAGATTGGAAGGAAACCTGCAAAAAATTAAGTAATAAAATATATAAATTTATTTTAATTTTGATGTTTCAGTGTATCGTCATTCGTGTAAACAACGTTTCGAAATTTCACGCAAATCGAGCAGAGATTCCATTCGAAAAAATCTATTCCGTTTGTAATTAAAATGAAAATACATTACAATGTATGGTCACACTAGTCGAAATTATAATACAAACATGAAACATTAATTATTAAGCAAATAGCGAAGTAAAATTGGAAATACCGAATAAAAATTAACATCTAAACCAAAATAACCATATTTCTATATAGAAATAATAACAATTAAAGTCGAAATATCACTAAAAATCAGTTCGACATGACGCGCAGTATTTGTATGGTATTTTGTACTTAAGAATGAAATATAATATTACATTCTGGATGCCACTCACTTTTGCAACCGCGCACAATAAATTTAATGACCATTTTACTAGTTTTGCCTCTGCATTATTCCAAAATTCAAAAAACAAACTTGCGAAATGAACATAAACATCCGCCATGTACAGTAAAAATTATTTGACAAATAGATTTTGGGTTGTCATATAACGGCTTTTAAGAATAAATCTAAAGTAGGGGAAATATGTAGGAAGTTAGGCAAATAGTTCATCGTAAATCTTTATTAAGTGTTTAAAAGAAATAGCAAACATTTAAGTGAAAATCGTTTTTGACAAGTTTCGTTATCATTTTTTACTTAAAATTCTTGCCATACTGAGAATTAAACTTACACTGAAATTCTTGATGGCTGTCAATGGGGTAATATCATTCGTCACGTTGGCTATTCTGTAGGGAAAACAGGGGTTACTCAAGGTCATTTGATTTTTCCTAATGTTGATATTAGGAGTGTGGGTTCCAGTTTGTCTATACTTCCGTGCGAGTATATCATCTTTTTTTTATAGGAGAGGGGGCAAACGAGCACGCGGCTCACCTGATGGTAAGTGACTACCGCCGCCCATGAACAACTGCGATACCAGGGGAATTGCAGATGCGTTGCCGGCCTTTTAAAAAGGAGTAGGCTCTTCTTGAAGGTCCCTAAGTCGTATCGGTCCGGAAAAATCGCTGGTGGTAATCGATTGCACAAGGACGTTGTGCGAGGAAGAAAACTTCTTCTAAATAGCACAGTGGTGGACCGCCAATCATCCAGATGATATGGATGATATCGCGAGTTTTGTCGTTTTTTTTTCATCTTGCTATGACGTTTCCCATGTCCAGTATTTTCTCTATGAAGATTACTGCTCGTGCTACTCATAGACTTAGAATATACTTCTAAGTTTATGTCGCTACTCTATGTCTTCGCGAATGCGCGACGACTTTAATTTAATATAAAATAAATATAATTATTTTTATAAAAAAAAACTCTTATTTTAATCTAAACAAACATATTTCTAAATAAAATGTATTAATAATTATGTTATGGAATTCACAAATCTTCAATTTACGCAATGTTAAGTTTAGTGTACGGATTACAGTACAGTTCAGTTGAACATAGTCAATGTTCGGAATGCGAAATCTAGTGCGTACTACATATATATCGATGCTTTTACTTCTATCGTTTCAATTCTCAATGAAAACTAATTACGGCCAACATGTGGATAGCCCCAAAAAAACTCGTGAACATTGGCTGTTGGCATTGGTCTCTTTCCAACTTGACCAACGTGTAGACTAGCACTCGCCTTGTATCAATTTGTCTACGCTCGCGTTGGCTGAGGCTTGGCCAACATGTATTGTCGGGGTAAGAGTCGCTCGATTTTTTATTTTATTTTACCAATTTGGTGCATATGACTCAATATTGTGGGTAAACGATATTAAAAAATGACACTAATCCCTTGATTGTTAGTTAAGGATCGGCTTCCACAATTACTATTAATTCTATTCCACCATTACTTAGTTTTCCTTGTGGTTCATTCTTCAAGTAGAGATTTCTACTACGAAAGTAATTTTACCAAAACCGCACAGTACGTTCGTTCGTCATATCCTCTACAAATGCAGCATTGATATTGTGAGATGTGGTATTATTAGAACCACGTTGGAACTTGTTTTAATGGACAGTGCATTAATTTTAATTTAATGTGGCTATTTTATTAAAACGGAAATTTTATGTTCATACTTTAGCCCCTATTATTTCATTTATTCTTCATTATAACCCATTTAAAGTTCACTGCTGATCATAGGACATCTCCACAATTGCCTCGTAGGGGTAGGGGTAACATTTACCGTAATTGCCACGTTTGGAGTTGGTAACTGCAGTTCATTGTTATTTTGGGTTATTGTCAGATGCTGCTGCGCATTTTTTGTATCACCCTCTGTCGCCTGTTACAAAAAGGCTTGCATTTTGCACGTTATGTTACTGAAGCAGACATTGTAGTATAGACGGGACCAAAGTTTTTGAATGACAATCTAATCTCAGTACACTATACGTACTTAGTAATCTAATGTATCTGTGCCTACATTAGATTACTAAGTACAAGATCAAAGTTCTTGTATGAAAATGATCCCAATGGCAGCTTTAAACATATTTAAATCATTGATAATATAAACCATTGAATCTCTTTGCACTGTTGCAAAACGATGTGAATGGTAGAGACTACCTACTAAAGATCAAGGCTAACATTCGCCTTACAGGTGTATCAGAAAGTAAAGTTACAGCCTATGTACGTTCCACTGTTGGACACTTGTCTTCCCTCATTATCTGAAATTATGAAATAATTAATCCGCCGCGTTGCTGTAAATATTACACATACAATTGCAATTTTATTGGTGCCGACGGGAGCCGAAACCGGGTGAAATTTAAGGCGAGCGCTTGGTTCCTAGCTACCACGGCTTTTACCGTATGCTGTGCCGTACAGCTTACTATCCGTACCGTCAACATACAGTCTATCAAAAATCCATTATAGGTGAGATATTAAACATAGTTGCCACTCTTGGCAAGCGGGTTGGCAAGGGCAGTTTTTTACTGCTGTTAAGAAGACACTGCTGCCTATCCTCTGGTTTGTATCCCTCTGGATAACGTCGAAGGAGTGACGTCCTGGTAAGACATTCCAGGAAGTGGATGGATGCAGGTGTCTCGGGACCGTGTATTGTGGCATTACTTAGGGGCGGCCATACAGGCATACAGGAATTGGGCACATCTAAAAGAAAACTAGTTAATTATGTATTAAATACACATATTTTTATTAATTTTAGTATTAATCACATAAGAATAGTACATAGAACAAACGGTTGACAAATTATTTCCGACATTTAAAAACATTTTTACGCGTGAATTTGAATTCATTCAACTTCGCTTTTCTTGTAGGAAGTACACGCGGATCAAAGTTTACTGCATTATTGTTTCGTATCATGGTGAAAGATTTAAAAGGATTGGTATACAATGCATCATCTTTTGACAATGTCCATGTTTCTATTTCTTTATTAGGAGTTAGTAGCATGTCTTTGTTTTCTGCAAAATCGTTACTGTCCAGATTCAGTGTATTATTTTGTGAAAGGTGCTGCCTAGAAATGTAATATTGATCAGGCGGTGTATAAACATCATTTAAAATTTCAGCGTTTTGATTAGGAGAGCTAATTTTCTCTTCATCGCGGAATGGTGAGGGTGGAGGAATAATTTCGTCTTCTTTGAGACATTCTAAAAGAGCTTTTGGATCGAACATTGTTTGACTTATATCAAAATCGTCATTTAACAAATCTGTTTGCTCAAATTTAAGACCTTCAATGTCAGCTATAGGTGACAACTGGTCAGGTGTCTTTATATCGAATATTTCTTTGTATTCATCAACTTCGGTATCCATTGTTACTTTAATGTGATTTTCCTTGTATTGCTTTGCTTCTTTATTTTGTTCTGTCTTACTATCAGATTTTCTTGCTTCACAAACACGATACGTAGGTTGTGAAATTGTTTGGCTATTGTTAATTTGATTGTTTGATTGTAGTAGAGATGGCAAGTCTGTTATTTTGTACGGTCTCTTTACTTTTTTATTCTGAGGTATTCCTTTATTGCCAGTAGCTGAACATGGTTTTTGATGCTCTAGTTGTCTATTCGCGTTGAATTTACTGAAAATTATGTTAACATATAATTATTGACATTTTGCGAGAAATTATTTACATTTAAAAAAATTACCTTGATATAATATCTTTGTATTTATTAATAATGTCTTTTACAGTGGGATTATTGTGTTTAGAAGTAGTTGAATCTTGTAAAGAATACGTTTTCAAGAATTCAATAGGTTTATTTAGGAACAATGAGTCATTAGGTAGTTGTAAATCTGTTTGTTGCTCTTCATAATTGTTATTTTGTATTTTATACGCCGTGGATTCTTCTGAAGGGGGAAGCATTTTCAATGAAGTATCGTAATTTGTCTTAAGCGGCTCTATAATCGGGTAATTTAGTTCATTTTGATTGTCATTATGAATATTGTATGTCGTGGATTCTTTTGAGCGAGCAACTTCATTAAAATAACTTTCGCAATTAGGTCTAGACTCTAAATTCGGATTATTTTTATGTTGAATCACTTCCTGGTGTTCATTTTTAAGGATATTGACACTATTTTCATTTTTCCCATATCTAGTTTCAATTATGTTCAAATCTATGTTCAGTTTGCTAATGAAAAAGTAATTAAATTCAGGAGTACTTTTAGAGTAAAAGTTAAGATGAGTTTTCGTAAAGGAAATTTTTTTGGAATAATCTGATTTTTCTGTCTTTCTACTGTCTACACATTTATTAATATAAGGTTGGGTAATATTATGGTTAGTATTTGCTACTGGGATAATATCAACATCACATACTTGTGACCACAGTTTCGTTTCTTTACTATTTTGTCGGTTATCAATTTTGTTCAATGTATCGCTTTCTTTAATAGTGCTATTTGTAGTTAAATTTGGTAATAAAGATTTTGAATTAAAACACGTATTTGTTAGCGGAATATTTGCTCTATAGATCCTTTCATTTATGTTTGATTTTACATTATTGTTTGAAATGCAAGGAAATCTCATTAAACTTGTCTTAAAATCGGATATCGGTTCTAGATTGTAATTTTGCTTCATACTGTTAGTAAATAAACCTTGATGTGTATTCGAGGGCATTAAGATGTCGCTGTTTACTTTTTCAATAGCATCACATTCGTTATCATTACCTTTCTTAAATTTCTGTGCTTTTTGTGGAACTGTAGTTTCTTGGTCATTACGTTCAATAGCAGTTTTGCTTTGAGGTTTTGTTATTTCATTAACAACTTTAATTTTACATAACACATCATCAATACATGAGATTACAATATCATTTACCATTTTTGTTTTCTCAGGACTTGATAACATGTTATTAGTGCTTAAAATTGAATTTGATGTATTCTGAGTTATGTTATCCTTGTGTTTTATTTCTGACAAATGTATTATATTTTTTAATTTAGCTTTATCGTTTTGTTTGATGTTATCGCTGTTTATTTTCTCAATAGATTCCAATTTGTTATCATTACTTTTCTTATATTCCAGTACTTTTTGTGGTACTGTAGGTTCTAGGTCTAGACTTTCTATTGCAGTTTTGCCTTGAAGTTTAGTTACCTCATCAACAACTTTAATTTTACTTAACATGTTACTATTGCTTATAATTAAACTTGATGTATCCTGAGTTATGCTATCGTTGTGTTTTATTTCTAACAAATGCATAATATTTTTTTCTTTGATTCTATCGTTTTGTTTGATTTTTTCTAAAAAATCATCAATATGGTTTTTGACGGTATCTATAAACGTATTTTTAGAATTGCACATAGTTATTTCATCACTATTGTTATTGTTTGCTTTCTTTTCTATGATATCAATAACATTAAAATTAGATTTTTCCTTTTTAATAATTTTGTTTCTTATTTCATTATAAGGTTTGACTTTAATATTACCAGCATTATTTGCCCTTTCGATGGTGTTCAATTTAATTAAGTTGTTTAATTTTGGTTGGGATTTTTTGCTTAACAAATCATTTCCATGTATTTCTTTTTCTATTTCGTTTAAAATACTATTTATTTGTTCATCATCTTCAATATTTTCTACAACGATTTCCCCGTTATTTTGATGACTTTCTTGTAGCACAATATCTTTTATGTTTGTTTCATCTATCTTCCCTAGTTCCCTTAACTCGTTGTTTTCTGTTACATCAAATATAGAATTTTTATAATGCATAATATTTAAATCTGGAGATATTTGTTTAGCTTCTTTATCCATGGGTTGTTTAAAAGATTGCATTTTTTCTATAATAGGATAGTTACGTTTTCTTTTTTCCATGGAACGTGTTTCACCAATATCAGAGGTTTTTCGTTTACGTATTTTAAAAGTATCAGTAATGGCAGCTTGTTTGACATGTTTTGCCTTCGTTGGTGTGCCTAGTTGAGAAACTGTATTATTATTTCTTGCAGACAATGTATGTAAGTCGTTAAATACATATTCACACTGAACGTCAATTCCCGCTGAAAAAAAATACTTGATTTAAATTTGCATTATTTAAAAAAAGTTTTTAATCTAATTTAATTAGTCTCATATCACGGTAAGTTTACTAAAGTTGAAAGTTCGAGTGGCGGCCTCGTACCGGCGGACGAAGTGTAGGGCGTCCCCTCACTAGAAGGATTGATAATCTGGTAAGACGTGCAGGAGGTCGATGGATACAGGTGGCTCAGGACCGTGTTTTGTGGCATTCCTTGGGGGAGGCCTATGTTCAGCAGTACACTTGTGAAGGGCTGTAATGATGATAATTACTAAAGTTTCTGAAACTTCAACAGATATCATGAACAATCTCTAAAGAAATTATTAAATAAATGGTAATAAAATCATGATCATCATAAACCTGCAGAACATTCTGTAGTAATTATTTTTTTTCTTCGAATGTCATCAAGCCTCAAGGCAAGTATTTTAATTTTAAATAATATTGTGCCTACTGTAGCGTACCAAAAATTGTTCATAGAGATTAGTTATCTTGTTTATTTGAATATCATTAGCATCATTAAGAAACTTTTGAAAACGAGGCACTCCAAACGCATGCGGATTAACGATCTCAACCAGAAGTCAGATATCTTAGGCAGGTATTCAGCGACAATCTCCGGTTTATACTCAAACTCCACAATGTCACAATTTGAATCTAGGTCATAGATTTACGTATATTATAAACTCAAAATGTTTTCTGGTCCTGGACGCCAAGCCTCGTCGCAGCGGTTTAATTTTTATCAGCTGTTATTTCAATTACCTTCGAAACTTTTATTTTAAACACTCATGCCAGATTTGACTAGGTACTTTTTAAACACTTCTTACTATTCTTTAATATAAGAAATTCGAGAACATCTAAAATATCTAACCAATCTGAATAATATGATTTAAGAGGATTGTGAAGAGGAAAAAATATATCGTCATCAACATAATATTGTTATTATTCTGTCAAGGATTGTGACACATTCTTTGCATATTATATAATAATATGCGACGCGCATTGAATACGGCGGCGGTGGCTTGTACAGGGTAGTGCAGTGTACAAGTGTATCTGTAACGTTTCAGCCGTAACGATATTATATATAACGTAACGAAAAATATTTTTCTACGAAAATGTTGTTCTTGAACGTTATTTTTTATAACGTTATTGATAATTTTAGGTTTTAGTCATCGATCACATTAGTGATCGATGTTTTAGTATCATTACAAGCTTTGGAACCTTATGAGATAACATTTAGTGTAACGAAATGAAATTCATTTCATTTTCAAGTCCCTGTTTTCAAGACTTGTTACAAGAGTTGCACTCTCTCTATCGCACGATACGGTATCTACGGAGCGAGCGGTATGAAACATAAAACATTTTTGAAAATACCTACTAACGCCGCGTATCGGCATTTCAAAATCATCTTAAATATTAAACTTTAGTACTTACCAAAATTTGAGCTAATGCATTGTGCAATAATCTTATGTCCAAAGTGATGTCTCCTCATTATTTCGTATGTGATTTGCCCATCATAAACGCTTATCAAATCTTTGTCTCTAGAAGAGTATTATTGAATTACATTAAAAAAATTGTGTAAAATAAATAAAAAAAAGTGGCGCTAAGGATATCCACTACCCCATATTTTCCCGTGGGTGTTGTGAGAGGCGACAGTGGAAAACAGGCAGGATGTGAGCAGCAGCATCTGCCTGATAACAGCAATACAACAATAAAAAACTGCGGTTGCCAACCCGCTCGCCTAGCGGGGCAACTATGGCAAACATCCCCCATGATGAAAGTTACGAAGGCCCCGGCGACCCCGCTATTCCTGGCCACGTTGGCCACTATGGTAACGGCGGGGCAGTGGTTGCTAAGAATCTCCGGAGGAGGTTCGTTGCCACCTAAGACGACTCGACCTGGCAATATACAACGCACGCACGCTGAGGACTAACGCGAAGATACTGGAGCTGGAATAAGAGATAGACAAGTTGCGCTGGGATATTATAGGATTACCTGAAGTCCCAAGAGAGGGAGAAGGCACGGTAATCCTCGAACCTGGAAACTTGTTATATCACCGGGAGGGCGAACATCTGTCCCAAGGAGGTGTCGAATTTATCCTCCTCCTCTCTCGTTAACAACGTTGTAAGGATTGTGAATGTGTCGACGAGGGTTGCGTACCTTATGCTCAGAATCACCAAACGGCATTCGTTGAAGGTCATGCAGGCAACGCACCAACCTCGTCATATCCCGATGAAAAAACGCCTCTAAAACGCACTATACTGTGTTAATGGGAGACTTCAACGCAAAACTATGCACAAGAGAGAACGGTGAGCCGAAGGTAGGGAAATTGGGAATAGAGGGGAAATGAAGCTGCAGTCTTCAACAAATTTGACAACATACAGGCGACTGAACAGACAGATCTCCAAATGCATGCGGCGTGACTTACGCAACTTCAATACAGCTCGAAAAAGCAATCGAGCTGAATCAAGGCTCCAAAGTATTTGCCAGAGATCTGTCTACCAGAAAAAGCCAACTGTCAAAGCTGAATACTGAGTGTGGCAACATCGTTTCCGGGACACCTGAGATTTGAGATGTCGTTGGAGCCACACGCAAGTGTGAATAACAATCCAAAAGCAACTCCTATCCGATACTATTCCGATGGTATCCCGGACGTCAGTCTGACCGAGATTAGAATGGCTCTCCAGCACCTTAAAAACGGCATGACCCCGGGTGAGGACAGAATTACAATGAAGCTTCTGAAAACGGGTGAAAAACCAGTACTTGAATTCTGTTCTGAATTCAATTCCGTCCTCCATGGTGACACTACTACGAAGGCGTGAAGCAGAAGTGTCTTGTTTTTCAAGAAGGGCGACAACCCGCGAATTGATTTCCCTTCTGAGCCGCGTCTACGTGCTGTTTTCGAGAGTCATTATGAATCGTCTAGCACGCAGACTCGACGAATTCCAGCCTCCCGAACAAGCCGGTTTCTGAAAAGGCTTTAGTACTCTGGTACTAAACCATACCCTTTGGCAAATTGTACAGAATAACGAAGAGTACAAACTGCCACTGCCTTGCGTATGTGTCTATGAGATAGCCTTTGATTCCGTCGAAATTCGTGCGGTGCTACAATCTCATCAGCGATGCCAAGTTGACTTTCGCTATATCAAGATGCTGAAGTATTTGTACTGTAGGGCTACGATGGTTATACGAGTATAGAACCAGAGTACGAAACCAATCCAACTACAGAGAGGTGTAAGACCGAAGACTTTATATCCCCGAAACTCTTCATCTTTGCATTGGAAGATGTTTTCAAGCTACTGGACTGGAAAGGATACGGTATTAACATCAATAGCGAGTACATCACTCACCTTCAATTTGCCGACGATGTAGTCCTTATGGCAGAATCACTGGAGGATCTAAGCACCTCAATAGTGTCTCCCAATGGATAGGTCTTAAGATGAACATGGACAAAACAAAGATCATGTGTAATGTCCATGTCACTAGCTCTAAGGAGCACTAAGCTCGAAGTTGTTGACGAGTATGTTTACCTGGGACAAATACTCCAACTAGGTAAGTCCAACTTCAACTGAGAGGTCGATCGACGGATTCAACTCGGCTGGGCTGCGTTCGGGAAATTACGGCACATCTTCTCGTCAGGTATACCTCAAAATGTATGTGCGTGTTGTCAGTAATGACTTATGGATCTGAGACGTGGTCCTTCGCCGCTGGCCGTATGAGGACGCTCAATATCGTTCAGCGAGCTATGGAGAGGGCTATGCTTGGAGTTACTCTGCGTGATAAACTTAGAAATAAGGATATCCACAGTAGAAACAGAGTGACTGACATTGCCCAACGGATTAGTAAACTGAAGTGGCGATTTGCCGGCCATATAGCTCAAAAAACCGACAACCCATGGGCAGAAAAGGTTCTCGAGTGGCAGCCTCGTACCGGTGGGCGGAGTGTAGGGCGACACATCTAAGGTGGAGTGACAACCTGGTAAGACATGCAGGAAGTCGATGGATGAAGGTGGCTCAGGACCGTGCTCTGTTCTTCGGGGGAGGCCTATGTTCAGCAGTGGACTTGTGAAGGGCTGTAATGATAATAATGATGATGAATCATTTACACTAATTTAAGGTACTTTTCTAATCGCAAATCAGCAAAAAAAAACCTATGCTTTGACAATGTTTGTGATCTTGTAATTGAGTAATCCTAAAAAGTTATGTGATAGAGTACAATAATATATTTTAAAAAAACTGTATTATGTAGGCAAGGTAGGTATTTCAACATGTGATTTTTTATATTTACGCAAACCTGCCTCATCTACGAATGTTAGTAATATATAATTATTCAAATGAAACTCTGTATAAAAATCATCATCACTTCTCGAAGAAAGGATTTGCCTTAATCATCACGCTTGACAGGCGGATTGAAGATCACAATACCAGACGTCTTACACCTTGGACCTTTAGATCGCTGGTTTGGGTAATCAGTCGCTACTTTCGTCCCCCATGGGACGAAATGGGTGATCGATTGCTTATTCATTTTGAATACATACAATAAAATGGACCGTGTAGTAAAGACATTTTTCATTCAACCCACACAAACATAAAGTAATTCAGCTTTGAAAGATGCATTCTTCTTGTGGTAGAATCCCTGTTCTAAAAATGTTATGTATAAAATTTTAAAGAAAATTGGAAGTCGATGTTAGGATAGCTTGTAAATGAACTGAAAAACGAGCCTCTGGATCATCATTAAGGCCAAGTTTTTAACTAAAGAACCACTGAACAAATACAGATGAAGTAAATGTAAATTCTTTACAATAGCGCTGGCGGAAGAAAAGCTAAAGATTTAATAAAGATTAATATTTTGTTTTATACTCGATTTTTTACAATAGCAGACTCTAGTATCAAACCTATATCAAATATTACTTGTGCACTTTGGACCTCGGGCGTACCCGAGACGTAAATTGGCATATCTTTATTGTTTGCCAACTATTTTAAATGAAATTAATATAAAATGTATAGATTTATACTGAATAACATATTGCGGTGTATGACTTTTTCTGCCCAGGATAGGTCTGTCTGGATAGGTACCACTCTCTTACCTCTTTCTGAACACATCAGTGCGTGCACTGCTGCGTTCTGTTCCGAAGAGAACAGAGAGCCAGAATTATCATTACAGGCTGTGTGAGGAGACAGAGTGTAAGTCCTCATAGATGATAATGCATTTGTGCATGTGCCTTCTTTGTTTGAAACAAAGAAGGCGTCCGTTTCTTTTTGTTTCTTGTTTCTTTTTAAAAAACGTTACCCCACACTAGGATTTTCTCCTGTATTGTGGAGGCAGTTTACAAAGACAAATTGTACAAGGACAAACATCCAGACCCGGAACAATTATTTGTAGGCCATACAAATACTTGTTCCGTGCGGGATTCGAACCCGCGGCCCTCATGGCAGCAACTCATTGCTAAGCCACTGCGCCACGGAGCCGTTGGCTGCTGTACGACTATAACTCTCAGGTGAGCTGTACGTTCGTTTGTCACTTTAGCATAAAAATAAACTATACAGTAAAAATAAATGGAGGCATTTTGTACGTGGTAGAGCAATAATATAGCTGCAGCGTACACAGCTATATTATTGTTCGCTCTCACAGAATCACAATACCGGCCCAAAATAGCAGTTTAATGCTGCTGTTTTGTATGGTGAGTTTAGAGAACCGGAGACCCTTTTTACTGGAAACGCGGCATTCCATCTTAGTCCTCAGGGATGGCAACGCATCTACATTTTGATTCTTAATTGAGGATGTATGTAGATGTCCATGGGCGACAGCATCCCTCATCAGGTGGACTGTGTGCTCGTTTGTCACACTTATTCTATAATATAATTTTATAAAAAAAAGTTAGATCGCAGAGCGGTACTACATACTTTCAGCTGCTTTTTATCCGGTTTTACCAAAAAACGTTTGAAAAGCTGGAGTTTTGAAGGATAAAATAACACTATTTAAATTTTGAACGTATGTTAAGGTAGAGGAAAACTTTATGACCTGGCTACATAAAATTTACTGTTTCAAAAATCCTAACGTTGTATAGGTATGTCGCATGACGACCTAGTCAATAATAACAAAATTTAATATTCATAATGTATGACAACATTCTTGAGGTGGCCTTAACGTTAATATTTATTAATATGCTTATGACATATTTTATCCTATTATTATTTAACAATTATAAGCATTTTACGATCAGTAAACTCAATTATAGAGCATTGCGGTAGTAATATATTTGTTACGTATACATAAATAATTACTTTGTAAGGTACATAATTGTTAACATATTATGCCAAATGCAATGAATAACTATACAAATTATATATTATGTACTCGTAAAATGTGCCGAGCGGTGCCGATACAGAATATTTCAACACCTCATCATAAAATTATCGAACCAATAATTTAAACGAAACGAAACGAAGTTAGGTTAGTCTTGTATTGCACTTAGCAAACTGCCTTTTAATTTTCATTATGGGGCAAACAGAGCTAGTAATTATTTACCGCTCAACAGATGTCGCTAGTTGGAACCTTGCATTATTTATTCTGTGCCTTGGAACTGAGTGACGATAATTGTTACACATTGTTACTTTAAGAAAAGCGGCGTTTTAAATAATAGAGTTTCGGTTTCTAATGTGTATACCAATATGAACAGAACAATGCTAGTGGTTTACTCGTAATTTTTTTGCACAGTTCAACTCTCGCTCTTGATTCATCCAATTTATCTAATTAATTAAAAATGCAACTAATATTTCAGATAAAAACATTAAACTTGATATTTTTTTAACAATTTAACTTTCCCTTTATGAAATCTGTCGAATAGTCCACTTTATTCCAAAGTGGCTCCGTCCTGGCGGCAGAAAAAGTTTTGGATGTCCTTATCAACTTAACAGAAATCTATGTCAGTCAGTTGTCGGTTACACAGTGATAAGGAAATGAAGAGAACAATTATAACGTAAGCCGCCATAATTATTTACAGGACACGCATATTTTCCGTCTAAGTATCGGGCATGCGTACCTAACAATGACTCTCAATGCTGTTTGTCTGTACAATTGAACGCCTCTTTGTTCTAGTGGCCGCAAACGAAGATGTAGATCATGAGGTGGTCACCTGGTTAGTCCTGGCTCGGCTTATAATCAGTTATAGGATTTTTTTGTGAAGAAATTCTCAATAAAAACCCAGAGTCAGGCAGTTGGAGGCGTTACACCCCATGCCTCGGAAAGCAAGTAAAGCGGTTGTTCCTGCGCCTGATCTCTCTCTGATCGTGTCGGATTATCCTCCCATCGGACTATAAAAGGGAAATATATAGAGAGTGCACCTTCGTTTACTACCAAGTTTGGTGGCCGTGACGGACATTTTGTCTGGAGGTCATTATTATTTATATAAAAAAATAATCATACAATACACAAAATTATTTTAGGACATTTAAAATACCAATATAAAACTAAAAAGCGTGAGCATTGAAATAAATGAATGAAATAAAGCTATTGTTAACCTTATTATACTTACTTAAAAGATGTAAATAACAAGAGATAGTTCTCAGTATCACCAATAATAATATAACTCTTGTGGTTGGCTCCAGCCGTTAAATGTTCTATATTTTCCAGTAGATGCATCTGGTTTAATAATGTCAACTGTATCTTCACGCTGTTTTCATTAACGGGTGTCATTGTAAGCTGATATTTCGGCAACAAACTAATTTGTTTACGTAGGATATTACCTGCTGGTGGGCCTTTGTTCATTATCTAAAAGTGGAAAAGTGTAAAAAATTATTTTACACGAATTATAATTATCCATATCGACGCGTGGTTGTTTTAGAAATGCCAGAAAAATCTTTTACTTGATGGTGGTATTATAATAACCCCCCCCCCCCCCCCCCTGACTTCTGTAGAGCAATATTGCCGGATCAGGCTATTTTTTTGTTTGTGGTAATGATTTGATTGTATGTCGATAAATAATTGTTCGTTCTTATGAAAAAAGCATGTTATTTAGGAGTCTCGCTCCGCGCTCGTATGACTTTGAGTTTCAGGACACGTTATATACTTACCTACATTTTTTAACAAATAATATCAAATAATCTCTCTGTTGATACATTGCACACGTTTAGAATCTGACAAGAGCTTTTTATTATTTATAAAAATTAGAAATAAAATAAAAAATATTTAGAGGAGGATCTGTTCTAAGTACTAAACGGTCTCTCTGGTCAAGTGAAGTACCTGTTCTGAGTATGTGTGTGTGAATAAGGCCAGTAAAACATTTATATATTGCAGTATACTTACCCTTTCCAAATCTCTAGGATGACTTTCTTCTAATAACATGAAGTTGAATTTACCGGCAGTTGCAAGTAAACCACTAAACGTAGGTCCGATACCTTTCAGTTGCTTGCTCACGTATATAGAATTTTCCCAAAGGTGACTTTCAATGCATTTATTTAATACAATAGAATTTAACACAGCCTGATAATGTTGTGCACACTCCCTTAAAACGTTCGGTCGTGTCACGTAAGCCACTAAACCTAAAATTATAATGTATTTTTATGCAAGTATAATGGTGACAAACGAGCACACAGTCCACCTGATATTATATGAATATAATTTAAAATTAAAAATTTTGTACAGCCGACTTCAATATAAGTTATTTAAGAATAACTTAAAAACTATTGGTCTGACCTTGATCAAATTCATATGGGACCACACGAGAAGTACCAGCTTTCAAATAAAAAAAGAATCATCGAAATCGGTTCACCCAGAAAAAAATTCTGAGGTAACACACATAAAAAAAAAACGAAAAAAAAAAACATACAGTCGAATTGAGTACCGGCTCCTTTTTGGAAGTCGGCAGAAAATGGAAATGTAGATGCGTCGTCAACCCCGAGGACCAAGACGCAACGCTACGACTTCGAACAAATATTGGCCTGTAATCAAATCCTGAACCCATAATATCGGAACCTTCTACCATGAATTTACTGTTTATATTATTACATTTATAAATGGACAAAATATTGTTTCGCTCATTTTTAAGAAATTATCATAATCGTAGCTATAATCTATTTCGTCATAAGGTGTTATGAAGCGGGAAAAGTTCTGAATGGAATATCTAAAAACTAAAAAGTACATATTGTTAACTTGTAATAATCATTTTATTAACTGAAAAATAATTGTTATGCGATAGACAACACACATTACTATACATATAGGTACTCAATTTTCATTGGATCTCTATTTTACGCGTATGTATTGTGACAAGGTTAATAAATCATTGCTTTACGTGGTAGAGGTACGCTGCAGCTATTATAGCTGCAGCACGAATGGGTCGCCTCGACTGGGGTAGGACCACGCTCTCACAGAATACCAGAGTGAAACAACAGAGTAGTCCTCAAGGGTAACAATGCATTCTACTTCTTAATCGATGATAGATGTAGATGTCTATGGGCTACAGCATCCACTTACCATCAAGTGGTCTTTTGTGCTCGTAATCCTATAAAAATAACATATTATACTCCTTTAATTTAATTATTCTCGGCCGTTGGTAGCACCGTAAATTTCATATTCAAATTTCATCAGTACACGTCGCACGAGCAACCTGGGTTCGATCTACGCTGGCACAATGAAATTGTTAATTACAATTTTAAGTGATGATTTGCCACGCGGCTGCCGGTAAAATAAAACATCGTGAGGAAACCTGCATGTCTGAAAAGTAAATTATATCAAGAACGTTTGATATTCGCCAACACGCACTGGAGCAGCGTGGTTAATCGCTCCATAGTCCTCTCACAATTTTTTACAAGACTAGAATTTTTTTATTTCACTTTATTGATAGTTGCTCTTTGATACGTACATTTGCAGATGCGATCAGCGATTCTCATTATCTTCATAGCTTCTTGATTTAACGAAGGCTCCAGGATGGGAAGGCAACCAAGGACAGCCTGAATTAAGCTAAATACATGATATTTTAATACACTGCTACTACACAGCTTCTTACTACTTCAAAGAAGTACTTACTACATTATTTTATCTAATATATAAAACATTATATTTGTTTGTTCGTATTTTATGCGCTGCCATACCGTTCATCAGATTGTGGTAAAACTTTGTCAACTTATTGCTTACACTTGCGCGAAGATTATAATTAGTAGGTGGCGCGCATATCGTACCGACAATTTATTTGAAAGTTTTAGATCATTCAATTTGATTCAAAAAGATTGTATTATCATCTTCGAATTATCATATCTAATTAAACAATATAACTCTTCCAAATTTAAAACGATATTATCACAATTATTTCTTGTGCAGCATCAATGCGCCGGGTACCAGCTAGTATCTAATAATTTTTACATACATACATATAATCACACCTTTTTCCCGTAGGGGTAGGCAGAGACCACTTCTTTCCACTTGCTACGATCCTTACATACTTGTTTCGCTTCGTCCACTTTCATTATTCTCTTCATACATGCTCTACGCTTTAAGGTGCTCTTGACCTGGCCTTTTTTCAAGACGTCCCTGATTTGGTCTTGAAATGTCCGCCTAGGTCTATCCCTTCCAGCACTTTCATTCACACTCGCCTTATACACGTTTTTCGTCAATCGTTCTTCATTCATTCTCTCGACATGGCCAAACCATCTCAGCATACCTTTTTCAATTTTTGTCACTACATCTTCTTTCAGACCACAACGTTTCCTTATCTCACTATTTCTAATCCTGTCACTCAGTTTATTCTTAAACTGAATAATTTTTAATACTGATATATTACAGGCAGGCAGGTACAAGTATTTGTATAACATGAATGTAACTTAGTTATAAAATGATAAGAAAGAAATAAAAAAGATTGTGTCAGTTAAATAATTAATTATTTTATATATTAGATGTTTCATATCAAAGAGTACAGAGAACACTATATTATCGAAAGGGTTGCTAAAATTGTAAGATTTCAGTTTTGGATAAATTTTAAATACTCCTGCAGCACAACAAACTATCATTGTTTATTTACAGGTGTAACATTTTTTTAAAATTTATATACGAAACAGTCTATTGAAAACCATAAGGTCTATCTTTACGGTCTATGGCGATGGATTATTACCCTACGCCACAATCAAAGAGCGAACTTTATAATAGATTAATACATAATATATATAATTATACTCTCATCTTCATACAATAATAATATACACATAGACTCCCAGAATTTTTTTTTAACTTTTTTACCCTCAATAAGAAATTAATGACAACTACGTAGTAAGCCCATCGAGTCAGCATTCGTTCATACTAAAATTTATCAATAACTACAAATCATTGTAATGTTTTCGAGGTCGCATCCGAACCTTCTATTTTGTTTTTTATAACATTAGGTTCGGGAAGATAAGAACGAGTGCCTTTGAATTAGCTTTAATTAATGGCATTATAATTTGTCCTGTGAATGTGATAAGTTCATTGTATGCCAAAACATTTATTAACTATATAATATAAACTCTTTATTCATTGACATTATATCTGCCCATCACATGTCCATTGTTGATCATAAGCATCTACATATATTGCCACAAAGCGCGATCCTGAGTCACTTAGATTCATCGACTATCTTCGTGTACCGGTACAGCCTATCGAAAGTCCATTGCTAAACATAGTCCTCCCAATATATCCTCATGAGGGCGATATTTTACATAGTTGCCCCGCTTCGTAGACGGGTCGGCAACCGCAGTTTTTTTTATTTGTTATTAGGAAGACGCTACTGCTCAGCCCCTGGTTTGTTTCCCTCTGTCGCTTCTTACGACACCCACTGGGCGATATGGGGTAGTAGATATTCTTACACCGCCACTGCACGACTATCTGCATGTTTCGTTGGATTGTCACTCCGTCTCGTTAGACACTGCATTTGCAAATGTTCGAGTGCCTTTCTTCTCCATTGGTTGTTGCCTTTTTTTATAGGAGAGGGGGCAAACGAGCACCTGATGGTAAGTGACTACCGCCGCTCATGAACAACTGCAACACCAAGGGAACCAGGGGAATTTCAGATGCGTTGCCGGCTTTTTAAAAAGGAGTAGGCTCTTTTCTTGAAGGTCGTATCGGACCGGAAAAATCGCTGGTGGTAGTCGATTCCACAAGAAAGTTGTGCGAGGAAGAAAACTTCATCTAAATCGCATAGTGGTGGACCGCCAATCATTCAGATGGTATGGATGGTATCAGGAGTTCTGCCGCGATGTGAAATTTGGCGGCTGGGATTAATCCCAATTACTGTTCGGATTAATCCCAGCCATTTTAATTAAAAAAATAGTGTTCATTTAGAAATACTTTTAACATACTATACAATATCTTACCAGTTGAGTTTCATTTGTCTTGTATTTATTTTGCCCTTCAGGGGAAACCGTATAGTTGCACCGGTGTTATTTCTATTGAGTGCGTTAAGACATCTGCGTTCGTCTACACGTAGGTGCATATCAGATAGCTCGTGACTCTCGCACACTATCCATAATAACTGTTCTAACGACTCGTTGCCTTTTATCTACGCGAAAATATATGTCAAGATTGTAGAAACGAACGGGATTTGCGTAGTAGTTTTATGACATTTGATACAAGGATAAAAGTACGGCCCTCGTCTCGGAAGTCAACGAACTTGAGACCGAATAAAACTTGAGCTGGCTTTTAAATGTGTGTTAGCCAATTGAGTCAACATCTTTGAAAATGATTCCAGCACGTCTTGATTTATGTTTGATGATGACAAAAATGGTGATGATGTTACTTGCCAGAATTGGAAAACGTTGATAACTTCCGGATATTTAATATCGTAATCTATCAACTGTGCGAGACGATATGACAGTGCTACTTATTTTCCGTTGTTGTGTTTTGCTTTTTTTTTTTAAACGTTACCCCTACACTAGGATTTCCCCTATATCGTGAAGGCAGTTTACAAACATAAATTGCACGAGGACAAACATCTAGACCCCGAAAAATTATTTGTAGGCCATACAAATACTAGTTCCGTGCGGGATTTGAACCCGCAGCCCCCAGCGCAACAACTAATTGCTAAGCCATTGCGCCACGGAGCTACTTTGAAGTGTATAAAGTCAATATAATTATTACCTACTTAGGTCTTATGGGTGACAACCTGCAGCATTCTTTATTTTAAATTGCAATGTCCATAATCTGCTATAGTTATTATCCTTATCATCACGTAGACTTGTTTCTCAATCTTAAGGTATAAAAATATGATCGCATTTCCTTGCATTCGGGTAGTGAGGACGAGAAAATGCATCTTTGTATGTGCAAACAGTTTCTCATCAATGCCATCACTACAGTGACCATAAAGACAGAAAAGCACGGTCCTGAGCCGCTAGTAGGAGGCCTTCACTGGTTAGCTGACAACCAAAATATTACGAGATTGTATGTCCCTGTAATTTGTAATTTGTGATGGCGGCGTCAGATTCTCACGCGTAATTTTCGCAAGGCACTACAAGAAAATCCAGAAAAGACTAGTGGCACCCAATAAATGACGAATACTGTTAAGAATTATATCCAAAAAAATGTGGAAACCTTCCGTGGAAAAGCCTTTTTGGGTATAAAAGCTTGGTGGAGCATATACAGAATAACTATTCGCATAATATATGCATAGAATTAGTTCGCAAAAAAATGCACACAATTTATCTACAGGTCTGTTTGCTGATAAAAAACAAAAGAAGTTTTATTTTGTATTCAAATATAAAGTTTTACCTAAATAAACTACAGTTTAGGTTGTTTAAAATATTTTTTTTTTTTATTTAAGTGTCTTAAATAAGTCACCTAAAGGTTTGGGTTACAATGCAAATATTGCTAACATTTTAACGCACTAAAAATAAAAAGAGGATGAGACCTTCCAGTATACGGATCCTAAAAGCTTTTTAATTAATGGGATCTTTTTATCAGGTTAAACTTAATACTTTCAAACAAAATAAATAGCATAATCAATGATATGTTAAAAGTCGACTTCTAAAATCTAAACAACAATTTGTAAACTATGGTTTCATAACTTTATATAAACTATGATATAAAAAACACTTTATATAATACTGTTAACAGACCACCTATTGGTAAGTGAATGCTGTGGCCCATAAACATCATCATTTATCCACGATTAAGAATCAAAATGCGGATTGTCACCTTTGAGGAGTAAGATGAAATGGCTCGTTTCCAGTAAGATGGGTCTCCGGTTCTCTACACTCACGAAACGCAGACACATTAAGCTAAGACCGCAGAGGTGTCTTCATCACTAAACACTAAGATACGAATACAACACCTCACGGACCCTGTCCACGGCCTGTAATTCTACTTGCTCTATATTACCCTACCAAACAGAATACTGCATTGAATGCATACAAGCTAGGCTACGTAGTACTATTTTTTATTCTGTGGCTAGGCGTCAAAAACATGCAAAGGTGGTACCAGGCCAAACGGACTCCGTACGGAAAAGGAGCCCGTGTCACCACTTAGTCATATAGTTAATTCATGTTTACCACCGATCTTATTGCATAAAGTTACCAGCAACTCTTAGGGGTCAAGTCCAAGGCCCACAGTACACAGCAGTCAGCGCATAGATTACTGTATAAGTCAGCGTCTCTGACCTGGTGGTCAGAGACTTCACGGTGAAATTTATGTCTATATGGTGTAAGATGCATGGAAATGTTGATAACATCTTTCATCATCATCATTATTAGTCCTTCACAAGTCCGCTGGTGAACATAGGCCTCCCCCAAGGAATACCACAAAGCACGGTACTAGGTCACCTGCATCCATCGACTTCCTGCATGTCTTACCTGGTCGTCACTTCGTCTCGTGGACTTCACTCGACTTCACTAGCCTACCGTTAAGGGGCTCAATGCCACTTCAGCTTACTAATTCCGTTGGGCTATGCTGGTTACTCTGGTTCTACTGCGGACATCCTCATTTCTAAGTTTATCTCGCAGAGAAACCCCGAGCATAGCCTTCTCCATAGCTCATAGAGTGACCATGAGCTTCCTCATCCAGCCAGCACTGAAGGAGCACGTCTCAGATCTATAAGTAATCACTGGCAACACGTACTGATTATACAATCTTGTTTTCAAGTTTTGAGTTATACCTGACGAGAAGAGGTGCCGTAATTTTCCGAACGCTGCTCAGCCGCGTTCAATCCGTCGATTGACCTCTCGGTCGAAGTTGGACTTACTTAGTCGGACTATTTGTCGTATGTAAACATACTCATCAACAATTTCGAGCTTAGTGCTCCCAACAGCTACCGGTATAGGTGTGACATGGACGTTAAATATGATTTTTGTTTTGTCCATGTTCATCTTAAAACCTATCCGTTAGGAGACACTATTGAGGTCATTGAGCATAGTGCTTAAGTCCTCCAGCGATTCTGCCATAAGGACTATATCGTCGGCAAATCGAAGATCCAGTACAGTAGCTTGAAAACGTCTTTCATCAATATATTATTTAAGTAATCTTACTTATTACTAATTATTAATATCATAGGCAAATTTTTACACTTACTTTCATTATATGTTTCATAGTTTCTAAATCCAAATAATATATAGACATAAGCCGGCCAGCCTCTGTCGACTCAATGCAACTCGCTTCATCCATCGTTATTAAGCCCGAACTTGCCAAGCCGTTCATTGCTTTTACGCAGAGTTCTGTCAGTGTATAATGTTATAATATTTTAAACCGACTTCAAAGAAAAAGAGAGTAGCCAATTCGTCGGAATATTTTTATGTATATACCTTTATAGTCTTTAAAAGTCCACTGCTGAAGATAGGCTAAAGATTGCTTGAAGGGTGGTTCCATATACATTTAGTCAAGATCTAATGATGGAACCAAATCGTGCCGTGGTTTCGTAAGAGGCGACAGAGATACACTGAGACAGGAGATGGGTAGTAGTATCTTCATAATAACAACTCAAAATACAAATAAAACTGCGGTTGCCAATGCACCTGCGTGGCAAATATGGCAAAATATCTATGCGGCATTGTATGAGGGAGGCCTATGGTCAGCAGTGGAATTCTATAGACTGTAATGAATAATAGATGATGATTTGAACCATTTAAAAATTATCAAACTTTTCAATTTGCATTTAAAAGCACCCTCCCTTCGTGTTTTAAGACACATTTAGTATCAAAAAAAAAGAGATATATGAAATTTCAAAATTTTCAATCCATTAAATTCTATTACGGATCAATTTGTAAGATCCTTTCAAGGCCCAGACCTTGGGGACACATCTAATCTTAACCAATTCGAATTCTATGTAACGTGTACCTACTGTACATCAGCGTAATATTATGATCTGCCCCTCCATTATTGAAAGCTGCTGTTCGCTGTTCCAGCATGCAATCTTCGAGTACTCGCTTTGACAGTACATATTATACTTAAATTGGAACACGCACTGCATATTTTTTATTTAAGATATAAGAAGTTTTATACATTACGGGTGTTCTTCTTTGGGTGCGTAGTTAACACTTTAAATTGCAATTAATAATTTGATTGTTAATAATGTTAGTGACTGGAAACTTTAATTAATTCTCTTGTTTTCTTATTAGTATATATCTAGTACTTATTCTTAGAGAGTGTGTTCCTGATCCGATCGATCCGACCCATTCGTGCTACAACTATAATATAGCTATATTCTTTTCCATGAAAAGAGACTACCTATATTATTTTAATATAAGTGATTTTTTAAACATACGCCAATAGATCTATTTTTTAAAGATTTAGTCATACTCACTTCGCTTGACAGACTAGTTGATGAGCTCACAGTATAAATATGTATAATATAAGTAATTATCGGAAGAGGCGACTGTGTAATTCTAGAAAGATCTTATGATCATCGATATATGACTTTATAAGTATAACCATACTGTTTACGCCAGACAAAAAAAAACCCAGAACATCTTGTACTGCAATCGTAATCGAGTGCCAAGCGTGGCGATTATAGCCATTCCTCTCTTTAACGAAAGAAACCTCTGTCCAACAGTTAGCCTTTTACGGACTGATGAAAAGTATAAGAACTAGAAAAAGAATAAATTTCGCTTGTAACCCCATTACAACTTCTATGAGATATCATCATCATCATCGACACCACTGCTGAATATAGCAAATAAATTCAACAACGCACAGTCCTGAGCTACCTACATGACCTCCATGACTTGTATCATATATACAAATAAATAAAATTGAAGTGTCTGTGTGTAATGTCAAAATAACAGCTTTTTAGTAAACGCATATGAACTTATATATGGCATTTATAACAAAAACACAATTTTTTAAATTTTAGTCCATCTGTCTGTCTGTCTGTTTGTTCCGGCTAATCTCCGAAATGGCTGGACCGATTTTGATGGGACTTTCACTGGCAGATAGCTGATGTTATTAGGAGTAACTTAGTCTACTTTTATTTAAAAAAAAATAAGGGTTTCGCGCAAAACAAAAACCCTAAGTTACACGCGGGCGAAGTCGCGGGGAACAGCTAGTGTGGTATAAATTGTGACAATATTTTATTAGTTTGTGGTTATGATACACACGCTCGTTAAAGCGTCGTCAATGACATTTTAGAATTAATAGGTAAAGTGTATGCAAAAGGAACTAGTAGTATATAAATAACCATAAATGTTAAACGACAAGCGATATTAATTATTATTGTAATAATTAATTACTTTGCAAATTCAAACACATTTAATTTTTAATTTCAAATACATTTTAAAGAGATGCCTACTAGATATTTTTTACAAAATTGGTTTTATTCGTCATATTTTAGAGCGACGTTTTTATTTACTAATAATATGGAAATCTAAGTAAACAACCAATAACTATTAATAATAATCTAAGTATAAAACAATAATATTAATATTACAAAAGTCCCTTGATCCCTATCGACCTTTTGGTGTCTTTTTAGTCTTAAAATTTAACTATCGAAGTTCGAGAAAAATCTCACATAAATAGATATAAGGATTTCGTATATGTCAGAAGTTGATGTTCAGAGAGGCGATGGGTAGCGTGAAGTAGTGTCAAAAGCGAAACATCTGGTAAAGCAAACATCCTGCGTGCCAGATGACTGCACTGAACAGTCCAGACGCTTCATTCCTTTTACTTAAACCTAAGGTTCTGAGATCGCGTCGCTCGATGATTCTACTTAACACACATTTATCGTGATCCGGAGCTAGTAGCGGATTTATAAACTACACTATACATTGATATTTGATTAATATGTATGTGTATTGATGTTTTGAACGTGGTAGAGCCATGCTGCAGCTATATTAGTAGTATAGTTGAAGCACGAATGGGTCGGCTCGACCGAGGAAGGACCACTCTCTCACAGAATACCAGCGTAAAATAGCAGTTTAACACTGCTGTATTTCGTATGGTGAGTGTAGAGAACCGGAGACCCTTTTACTGGAAAAGAGGCATTCCATCTTAGTTCTCACGGGTGACAACGCATCTGCATTCTGATTCAAAAAGGAGGATAGATGTAGATGTCCATGGGCCACAGCAACCACTTACCATCAGGTGGACTATGTGCGCGTTTGTCACCCTAACCAATAAAAAAAACTAAACAATGTACTTCATTGGCCTAATAGCCGTAAGCGCAACTGCTGATCATGTGATCTCGGGTCGAACCAAAATTAGTTATTGAGTTTTTCAGTTAATAAATTTTCAATAGCAGCCCGTATGAAGGATGGTGGTATTTCACTCCTGTGCCTCAGAAAACACGTAAAGTCGTTTGTCCTGCACGTGCTGGGCTAGCCAAGAAGACTTTTTACTACTGCCTTTGGATTGCCAGTAAGACGAGCAGTTACTATCAGCTGTCAGCTATGAACCCGATAGTGGCCTACCATACAGCCTTGCTCATGCTCACTCACTGATGCGCCAAAGAGAAGTTTTAATTAATTGACTACTTATTTTCAAACTATAGCTACGGCCAATTTGGTCTTTATCATTTAGTAAGTAAATTTTTCAAAAGGTTTTTTTAACATCGTCATCGTAGCATCGTCATTAACATCTTTCCCTTTAAGACATTAACATCAAAAACAAGCCAAGTGCGAGTCGGCCTCGCGCATGAAGGATTCCGTACTATCGTAATACACATTTCTAGTAAGGGAGCCCCCTTTAGTTTTTAATTTATTTAAATTTTTATTATTTGTTGTTATAGCGGCAATAGAAATATACATTCTGTGAAAATGTTAACTGTCTACCTATTACGGATCATGAGATACAGCTGACTGAGATACGCTGACAGACGGACGGACGGACAGCGGAGGCTTAGTAATAGGGTCCCGTTGGTTACCCTTTGGGTACGGCACCCTAAAAGATTTTTTTCGCAATTCATACAAATCAAACATTATTTTACCAAACGACCAAGATTCAACTTACCTTCAATCTTCTTCGATATAAGATGAGAAGGCGCAGTTTGAGGTAGGCCTAAGTATTTCCTGGGGTCGCGAGCAGCTCGAACAAACAGAAATGTAGAGCGCAGCCATTGCACGCACTGTGCCACGTCGTTCACTGTACCTAGGGCTGCTTCACTGTTCAGATTCTCTGCTAAACGCTTGTGTAGGTAGCTTTGCAATGGTTCGCAGCCACCGACAAGAGCTTGATATCTTGCCTAAACATTATAGATTACATGTAATATTACATTACATTACATTACAAGTTTGGGCTCCACGCACTTTCATGTAAGAAAAGTGCTGGTAGGTTTTCACGACATAGTTCTTTGAATGATGTCATCCGAAGGGCTCTTGTCTCTATAAATGTTCCCTCGGTTTTAGAGCCTTTTGGAATATTTAGAGACGATGGCAGGAGACCCGAACGGTATGGCGTTGGTCCCTTGGGAGAGAGGTAAAGCCCTAGTGTGGGATGCTACTTGCGTAGACACTCTGGCGGCCTCTCATCTCAGGGGTACCTCGTTTAGAGCCTGGGCGCTATCAGAGGCAGCTGAACTGAGTAAGTAGCGCAACTATAAGTATCTGAGAGATGACTACATATTTGTGCCATTTGCTGTAGAGTAAAGTGTAAGTGTAAAGTGTAAAGTTTCTAAAGGAACTCCATCCGTGGCTGGTCGTCGCTGCTGGTGATAAGAGGGCTGGTTCTTTTCTCGCTCAAAGGTTAAGTATAGCCATTCAGCGGGGAAACGCGGCCTTGGCACGATACCGCGGGGTGTATGCGATAATTAAGTTTCTTGATTTAGTTTTTTTTTATTATTATAGTTTTTAATATTGTATATAATAAAATATTGTATATTTTATAAATTTAATATTTGTCTTAATAATTTACTAATTACTAAAGTAAATTGTAAGTAACTGCTTATAACAAAAACACGATAATATGTTAGTGGTAGGCAAAGAGTATATAATCACTACGTTAGGTGGTAGGTACATAATGGCTGATTGTGTTAAATACATTAAATTTTTATGTTATATCAAATTTTGACAAATCACTTTTTATTTGTAATTATTTTGACGTTTTAAATTGTTTTAAGGTGGACTGATTTGTTTGAACTTATATAAATTGTTTTAAAATGGCCTTAAGTAAAGAAGAGAAAAAAGCTAAGAAAGAAGCCAAGAAATTACAGAAATTACGAGCCGAGGCCGAAGCAAGAAGAAAAATAAAACACGATGAACTTAAACGTGAAATGGCTGCACAAGCACGGAGGCGTGGTGAATTGGACAAGAAATGGCGTGAGATAATGCTTAAGATAAAAGAACCAATCTTCAGGCAAGATATTGAGGTAATGTTGCATACTTTTGAGAGAACATATGATAAGAAAAATCATCTTATAAAGCATATTATGAGTCTAATTGACGTAGCTAATGATCAGTATCAGCGAACAGTATCAAGCTTTTGCGATACGATAGATACAATGATTATAAATTTTTTATCTGGTATTGAAAAAATATCCAAGGAGAATGACGAAAGAACAGCTGAGTTACTAAAAATGGGTGAAAATGATGCGGCACGGATTAGAACAGATCACGATGCTGCCGAAACACATTTGCAATTATTAATTTACCATGGACATACTACAGCTGATTCTTTAGTTTGGACTACACGAGGAGAAAATTTAGTAAGAGAAGACGAGGAACGAAATAAATACACAAGTGAACGTGTAAACCTTCGTTCACTTCTTGAAAACTCATATAATTCTATGTGGGAGGATTATAAAGCTGTTCTTAAAGCATACGTTGTTAATACTGCCGCCAATCAAAAAGAGGTGCGTAAATTGCGCCGTAAAGAAAATTTAATGGCAGACATTATTGCTTCTCAAGCAAAGAAAATTGCAGATAACGATGGGTTACTAAAAAGGCTTCATTCAGAACTAGTAGCATATGAATCAGGCTCAAAACAAGCAGTTTTTCGAGATCGTCGTGATAGACATCGAGCAGCTTGTTTTCGGTTAAAAAAGACTTTAATGGACGGATGTGAAAAGGATACAAAGCAAATGGCTGACTTAGTACGAGCATCAGATAGTGCAATAGAATGGCTAGAAAATGCCCACAAAAAAGGAGAGAAAATTCTGCGTATGGCTGCACTATGTCGCAAATATGAGACACAACGCGAAAAAGTATTACCTTTCGGGTTAACCTTACCGCATTCTCCTACACATTCGAAGACAAACCTACGTAAACTACAATCAGACGACTCCTTGGTTTTAAAAGCGATATCAACAACATGCGGTTTAACGAGGCTTTGGCAACGAATTGCACATGCCGACTTAACACGTAAAGCCCTAGCACGAGAAAAAATGTTATTAGAAGAAGAAAACGCAATTCTAATGGATCAAATACAAGAGCGTAGTGAAAATAAGTTTGAACCTAAAACAACGCAATGTATATGTAACAAACCTGAGAGACAATATACTGTTTCAAAACCAGTACCGGTTGATGGTGTGTTGGAAATGTCTAAGTATGGCATCCATTAGAACAAATTTCGTACCCGTTTGTAATTTGCCTTGAACCACTTTAATCAATCTTTCAATTTGGTAGCACTATTCATTATTCCTTATTTAAATGGTGACATAATGTAGATTTACAGGGAGTCTCATGAGATATTCGTATTTCTTCTGTCGCATGACGAGAGTCTGCGCGAGCGTTGCATGTCGCAATGATGCGAGACCTACACGAGCCACAAACGATGCCACTATGACCTTACCCACTTCTAAAGCCGTGGGACAGGCAACGATCGATAAGCGTTTTGGAATGTGATTTAAATATTTTTGATGTTTTAAAGGTTTCGTAGTCTTATTTTTGTCTTTGACTTATGAATACAATAACTCCCAAAGTATTGCGAAACATATTTCTCACTTTAATACACGCTTGTATAAAAGCGTGGTGTACGCGATGTGATAGAGTTGACAAAATGATTTCTTAGTTTTATTTAAATGATAGAGTTGAGTTACAAAAACATATAAATTGAACCAATTTTTTGGATTAATAAGCAAAGCGGTTTTGTACGAGATAAAATTATAAAACAGACAATTAAAGAAATAAGAAAAGGTTCAAAGATTTTATCCAAATTTCATTAGAATTTCTAATTTAAAAGAATATCTATATACATATATATCATAGAAAGTACATATTACGTACCTATTACATAGTCATAAGCCGTAGCCTATACATTTTGTAAGAGTCTCTCCTGTAACTTTTTTTTTGAAAAGAAATTCGTAGAAATAAAAAAATAATTTACTGTAATTATCTCAAACACGAAATAATTAACTTGTCAACTACAACAGCGATAGTATATTTAAAGTAAAAACATGTTAAGCGTTAGTTTAGATATTTTTTTGTAGTCATAATGAGCTGTTGGTTTTACGATGAATACAAAAAAATGTATTGCAGGCCGCTTCTATTCTAGACCACTGGCTCATGTAACTTATTGGTAAATGCAAGTTCACGTGGTATTAAATTTTACATAGAAGATGCACAACATAAGGAGGACTATTGTTGCCACATTAACCTTGCCCTTTTGAATTCTAAGTATTAAATACACGTTCATGAAAATAGCAAATAAATGGAATTAGTGTGCATTATTTTAGTTAAAAACAAACTGTGGTGCATAATTAAAGAACAAAACGAATATTAATACAAAATGAACCCTTTAACATTTCGGTTTCTTTAAGCCTCTTCAACTAACATGTAATAGAAAACAGGTCTATGTCTCTCTAAGTACTCTGGGAGTTGAGAAGATTTATCGTCATTATCAGGGCAGGTAGTTATACCGCCGGCAATGGCAGAATCAACATCACTCGGTAGAGAGTAATAATGTTCTGTGGTAATCATACTTTAGAGGTCTCTGATTTGGTATTGCTTGAAGTTTTTTTTTATAGAATAAGGGTGACAAGCGAGCACATAGTCCACCTGATGGTAAGTGGATATAGTAAGTCATAGACATGTACGTTTTATCCTCGATTAAGAATCAAAATGCAGATGCGTTGCCACCCCTGAGGACTAAGATGAAATACCTCGTTTCCAGTAAAAAGGGTCTCCGGTTGTCTACACTTACCATACAAAACACAGCAGCTTTTAGCTTCAATTTTTCAGTGGTATTCTGTGAGAGTGTGATCCGTCCTAGGTCGAGCCGAGCCGTTCAGTATGGCGCTATCATGTTAAAAGTGTCCATTATATCATACATCATATTTATGTATACATTTTGCTAAGTCCATTTTACCTTAATTATTTCTAGGTTTTAGCACTAATTTATATGCAATTACCTCATTTCAATCAATTTAAAATTCCTGGGGTAATACATTAAAAATAAGAAAAACCTACGTACCTACTCAATTTCCTCAACTAACACTATTATAAATGGATGCATTTTGGAATTAGAATAGTAGCGTTTTTTTTATAGGATAAGGGTGACAAACGAGCACACAGTCCACCTGATGGTGGAATGATCTTACACAAATAATCACCGAAACACCCACATCTGGTAATTATCTGTGTAAGTTGGTAGGCAAGTCTTCCACTCAGTTGCTACATCTAGATCTCAAAGTGCGGTAGAGTTTGTTAGTAGTGTTGGATAGGACCTCTTCTTGTCGGCGATGCTCAGCTGAGGCTCCAGAAAGAGGCTGCTGAACGAAAACGAGAGAAAACAGTATTCGCTAATTTCGTTGAAATCAAAGTTATAGTCACTTTGTTGTACGTACATTGAACTTATATGAGATCCTATAAGAGCTACCACGGTGCAAATGACATACGTTTCAAAGCACAATAAAGTGCACCTTGTGTTATTATGATGTCAATAAAGTTAGCGAATAGGCCTGCAGATTCCGCATGTAGGTGGAACCACAAGAGTGCTAGAGTTTTCCGTTGCGGCCCGCCTATTACTGGTGATCCACTACCAATAATGGGTGGCTCAGGACTGTGTTTTATGGCATTTCTTAAGGGATGCCTTTGTTCAACAGTGGATTTGTGAAGGACTGTAATGATGATACCAAGAGAGTATAAGATATAAACGTGAGTAGTTCTAGTATTTGGTGTTTACTTAAGCTATTTATTAAAAATATCGTATAAATAAGGTACGGCATAATTTTTAAACAAAAAATATGTTAACTAATTCACATTAACACATTTAACCCGCTTATCAAACGAACTTGCAAATGTCAGGTGAATGGAGATTAGGGTACAGGTAATACAATAAATACGACCCTTATCAAAAAAGCACTGCGTGTCTTCGCAAATTCTCGAAATTTAGACGATTTATTAAATCTACTTTATTTTTATCAAAATACTAGTTTTTTCCTGCAGTTTTCCTCGGGTAGACAAAATGAAAAAGATGCTTATAATGAACGGTTCCATTATCAGTTCCGTTAGGAGCATCATTTTGAATGTCAATTATAGCGAGTATAGGTTAAAAAAAAGACATTTAAAATAGAATAATTATGGATGGATGTATATGGATGATTTACCGCAAATACCAAGGTTGCAAAATGACTAACTTATAATCCGTACGGGTATTGAATTGTAGATATTAATAATAATAATATTAATTAATATCTACAATTCAATACCCGTTTGAATTTAGTTGAATTGTAGATATTAATAATATAATAATAAATAATATTATTATAGGGATTAGAAATGGCAGCACTTCGAGTTCGTACCATCAACATGCATGGTATATCGTTATAACGTTATTTTATTCGGTTAATTGATTTTTTTTAATAATGGGAAAATATTTCAAAAGAATTGTATACGCAATCAGGTACATTAATCTATATTAATATAATAAAGCGGAAGAGTCTTTTTGTTTGTTTAAACGCGCTAATCTCTGGAACTACCAGTTCGATTTGAATAATTATTTTTGTAAGTATATAATAGCCAGATTAATGAGGAATAGTATAGAATATCTATTCCTCATTAACCTGGCTATTATATACATATATTAGCCTATAACTCTCAGCTAGCCTTAAAATATTGATTTTTGTTAAGCAAGTCGGAAGAAAAGGCGCTCTCTAACTGCTTTATCCGCGTGCTCTGGCGTAACGTTTAGTAATACATTGTTTAGTATACAATGTTCTACAAAAATATCGTATAGCCGTTCGATTACAAGATATGGCAACACTTGGAGGAAAAGGCGTGCTCAAAGCCTCATCCCAATTTGGAGTCACTCAAGACATCCTTGATTAAGGCAGCCGCCGATATTGACATGGACCGCGTTCGTGCTGCGATAGACGACTGGCCGCGCAGATTGAAGGCCTGTATTCAAAATCACGAAGGTCATTTTGAATAAACTTAAGTGTCATAAGAATCTATGTTTTGTTAAGTTCATTTTGGTATATAAATGGTTACATAATGAATAAACTTGTTTCAATTATTTTATATTAAATATGTGATGTGTTATAGAATGTGCGAAAAACGCATATCGAAACGTAATTTTTTTGCAGTCTTTACCAGTGGGTGTGAGTATAGATGGCGACACTATGCGGGCGAGAGGCGAATAGAGGCAACGCCATTTTCAATCCCATTCTTTATCCGCACGGGTAGTAAATATTTTATATTGGATATGTGAAGGTATATAAAATTGTAATTGGGAGAGAAGCCCTTTAGTCGAGTGTATTCGGTGTTCATTGGCATAACAAGCATTTCACCAACTTCTTTTGGTATCAGGTAAGTGCACTGTGAAATCTCTAGGTATCTCTATATGATGGATTAGTTAGTGGCTTCGTTGGATGACTAATTACTTTAGTATAATGTTGGCTACAATCGTGCAAAAGCTTCCCTTTCATTTTTTATGAATTTTATTTAAGCAAGAGCTAAGAGTGTAGTTCGCAGTGAGTAAAACGTGTACGATTCCCATGACAAATGAAACTGTTATTACTGTAACGGTTATAGGTGCTGATTTATCACGTGTTTGACGGTGAAGTCGTTAAGTATAACATCGTGGGGGAACCTAGATGTCTGAGATGATAAAAAAAAAATCGTGGACATGAAAGCATAAAACACGCATGGAGCATTACGCCAGACTTTTTTCTGCCTTCAAAACACTATAGGTAGGTAGTGAGTAGGCTTGTGTACAGCCGTGATAAGTATATATGTAGGCTGCTACCTACTTTACTTTTTTCGCCTTTAATGAGACTATAAAACACAAAACACACAACAACACAAACACTCACACCTGTCACCCAGAGGGGTAGGCAGAGACTACGGACTTCCATTTGGCGCGATCCTGACACACCTCTCTCGCCTCCTTTACATCCATATATCTACGCATACACGCTCGTCGGTTAAGGGTACTCCTAATCTGGCCCACTTTTAATGTATCACCGATTTCGTCGATAAACCTTCGTCTAGGGCGTCCCTTCCCGACCCTGCCGTTCCCTTCTGCAACATAAATTTGCTTTGTCACTTTTCCTCGTTCATTCTTTCTACATGACCAAACCATCAAAGCATTCCTTTCTTAATCCTTGTCACAAAGTCATCT